CGAGGACTGGCAAAAAATGAAAAGCAAAGCAAAGCAAAGCAAAGAAAAGCAAAGCAAAGAAAAGAAAAAGATGGGCTGGGAAGGTGGCTCAGTGGTAAAGCACTTGCCTTGCATGCCTGAGGCCCTGGGTTCGATTGCTCAGCACCACATAAGCAAAAAGAAAAAAGCCGGAAGTGGTGCTATGGCTCAAGTGGTAGAGCACTAGCCTTGAGCTGAAGAGCTGAGGGACAGCCCCCAAGTCCAGAGTTCAGGCCCCACGACTGGACCCCCTCCCCCAAAGAAAAGAATATTCCAGTGTAATAATAGGCTTTAGAACTAGAATGCCTAATCACAATCTGATTAGAAACACAGTCATAATCCAAAAGTATACCTACAGATTCTTATCAAAGTCCTAGTGTTGATATACACTATTAATTACTCACACATCTTTTCCTCAGAAAAAGAATGCCTATATTTCAAGGAACTTTGTTGTTCCAACTTCTGTTCAACATTCAGTTACTTACCAATCCTAATCCCACTTAGAAGCTCCATTTTCAATTTTTCCATTCCCTTCCTTAAAATACTCTAAAATGCTAGAAGTCTCCCTTGAGGAAAAACAATTTATCAGATTTTATGAACCTATCGGTTCAAAACTATTTTTCCTAGCCATAAATTATGTTTTCCTTACTCAGAAAAAATTCTATACCTTCAGATCTTTTTCATGTAAGTTAATAGAAGATAATTTTGATTAACATCTCTTGGTAAAATTCCCTTTAAATCATTTATCTGGCTGTCTGTCTGTCAACCTGCTTGCCTGCCTGCCTGTCTGTCTCTGTTGATCAAAATGGGTCTATCTAAAATGGATTTGTCTGTCTGTCTCTATTTATCTAAATGGACCTTTGCTTCTCTAGAAGACATTTCAATATAGCACATGTAAAAGTTAAATAATTTAACATAAAAACATGAGGACTGAGTGATAATAAATGAAGAAGAGTCATAATATTGTTCTTAGAAATCTGGACTAATTATTTCCAACAAGCTGTATGAAATACATAAAAAAGAATTTGCAGGGGCCTGGAAGGTGGCTCACTGGTAGAGTGCTTGCCTCGCATACATTAGGCCAGGGGTTTGATTCCTCAGTACCACATAAAGAGAAAAAGGGGGAAGTGGTACTGTGGCTCAAGTGGTAGAGCGCTAGCCTTGAGCTGAAGAGCTGAGCGACAGTGCCCAGGCCCAGAGATTAAGGCCCATGACCGACCAAAAAAAAAAATTACAAAAAAAGTTTTATCCAATTACTTTATAATTCCAACTTTTGTACATCTAAGTCTTTGAACATAAAATACCTAGGAATTAACATAACCAAAGAAGTGAAGGACCTCTATGATGAAAACTTTAAAAACTTGAAAAAGGAAATCAAAACAGAACTTAGAAAGTAGCAAAAAATCCCATGCTCCTGGATTGGAAAGATCAACATCGTGAAAATGGCAATACTTCCCAAGGCTATCCACAAATTCAATGCGATACCTATCAATATTCCAACCTCATTCTTCAAGGAAATAGAAGAGGTAACCCAAAAATTCATATGGAACAATAAAAGACCCGAATAGCAAAATCGATCCTCAACATAAAGAACAGTGCTAGAGGAATATCAATACTAAATTTCAAACTCTACTATAAAGCCATAGTAATCAAAACAGCTTGGTACTGGCACAAGAACAGACCTCAGGACCAATGGAATAGAATTGAAAATCCAGAAATGAACCTCCAGACCTATAGCCATCTAATCTTCGATAAGGGAGCTAAAAAAATAGAATGGAAGAAAGACAGCCTCTTCAGTAAATGGTGCTGGCAAAATTGGTTAACTACTTGTAGAAAACTAGTTAGATCCTTATATATCACCTTGCATCAGAATCAACTCAGATCAAAGACCTCGGAGTCAAAGTTGACACTCTGAAAATATTACAGGATGGAATAGGAGAAACCCTAGGTCTCCTTGTCACAGCCCAAAATGTTCTTAATAGAGACCCAGAAACACAACAAATCAAAGAAAGGTTGGACAAATGGGATTGCATGAAGTTGCAGAGCTTCTGCATGGCAAAGGACATAGCCAGCAAGATCAATAGAAAGCCCAAGGATTGGGAGAAGATCTTCACTAGCCATACAATGGACAAGGGTCTCATATCTAAAATATACTTGGAACTCAAAAAATTAAATCCCCCAATACCAAACCCTCAAAGAAACAACTGCCCAATAAATAAGTGGGCTAAAGACTTAAAGAGAAACTTCTCTGAAGAGGAAAGAAGGATGGCCAATACACACATGAAGAAATGCTCTGCCTCCCTAGCCATAAAAGAAATGCAAATCAAAACAACATTGAGATACCACCTCACTCCAGTTAGAATGGCTAAAATCAAGAACTCTAATAACAACAGATGTTGGAGGAGATGTGGACAGAAGGGAACCTTACTGCATTGTTGGTGGTAGTGTAAACTTGTTCAACCACTTTGGATAGTAGTATCGAGGTTCCTCAAAAGACTCCACATAGAGCTCCCCTATGACCCAGCAATCCCACTTTTGGGCATTTACCCATATGTTTATAAACAAGACCACACTAAAGCTACCAGCACAACTATGTTTATTGCAGCACTATTTACTATAGCTAAGATATGGAACCAACCCAGATGCCCCTCAGTAGATGAACTGATCAAGAAAATGTGGTATATATACACAATGGAATTCTATGCTTCCATCAGAAAGAATGACATTGTCCCATTTGTTAGGAAATGAAAAGACTTGGAAAAAATTTTATTAAGTGAAGTAAGCCAGGCTCAAAGAAACATAGGTCCCATGGTTTCCCTTATTTGCAATATCTAGTATATGTCTGAGTCAAGCAGGAAAGGTCAGATAAGGTGATGAACCCTAAGATATGTATTCAAATATTTTTTTTCATGTGATTGTTTCTAACACATTTAGAAGATTATTTCTTGGTTGCTTTGTATGTCCCCTCCCCCACAGTATAACCCCTGCTTTCACTGTATTTGATGTTGTTATAATTTGTGGAGGGGAAGGGGAAAAACAAATTGTTTAAATAGGGATACAAGTGGACCCATTGCAACAATTAGATGTACAAGTCGTTATGTCGAAAACGAACTTTACAACTTTGGGGGGGGGGGGAAGGGGGAGGATTGGTTGGGGTGAAGGAGGAGGATGGGAAGGGATGGGAAGGGGAAACAAAGGAGGAGGCTACAATGCTTGATAAGAAATGTATTCATTTTCTTGCCCATGTAATTGTAACCCCTCTGTACAGTATTTTCACAATTAAAAAAAAAAAATGAGATGCAACCAAAAAAAAAAAAAAAGAAAATTAAAAGGGGTAGGAAATGATGAAAATGACTAGAAGAAATATTTACTCTAATGTGGCAAAGTATAAAATATCTTCCTTTAAGTAAACAAATTCCAATATTAAGAAGGAAATAAAGAGATTATAAAAATATTGTGACAATATTAACTTTTGGTCAACACAAAAAGAATACATATATAATCATAATTTCAAATTGTTGCCTTTTAAAAAGTCATCATAAACTTACATATAAGTTGTTTTCATAAAGTCATGGTGGGTGTATGTGTGTGTGTGTGTGTGTGCCAATATTACTGGCCTTACACTCTTGGCATCCTCTTACTAATTGAACTGCACCTTTAAACTGTCTCCTTGCTTTTTTTTTTTTTTTTTTTTTTGGGTCCAGTCATGGGGCCTGAACTCTGAGCCTGGGCGCTGTCCCTCAGCTCTTCAGCTCAAGGCTAGTGCTCCACCACTTGAGCCACAGTGCCACTTCGGCTTTTTTTCTTTTTGCTTATGTGGTGCTGAGGAATCGAACCCAGGGCCTCATGCATGCAAGGCAAGCACTCTACCCTGTGCCACCTTCCCAGCCCTGTCTTCTTGCTTTTTAATTGGATAATAGACTTTCAATCTCTCTTCTGCCCAGGTTACCTTCCAACCATGATTCTCTAGATCTAAGTCTTCTTTAAAAAACAAAACAAAGCAAAAAAACACCCTCATGTATTAAAATTTATTGTTTTTTAAAATATTACTTTAAATAGTGGCACAAAACATTTCAATGAAACGTGTCTATTTATGAGTATAATAAATCTTGATTAGTATCACCCTCCCATTCCTTCCTTCTATTCTGAGTAGACATAATAAGTATTAGCCATAAGTACATAGTAAAAATTTAAATTTTAAGGTGGTAGAATCTTAAATTTATATTTTAATTACACAATTAATATCCTATTATTTATGATTCTTTACAACTTGATCTAAGCCCAAGAGTAGGTGATAGAACCAAGTAAAACATTTGGACATTGGGAGGGCTAATTGAAACTCTGGCAATCTAGTCTCTTCTAGGACAATGAGAATGTGTTCTACTTTACTTGCATTTAGAACTTGGACAATGGGAAGCCACTAATTCATGGCTATAAAGTGCTTATTAATGACATGGAATAAAAGGAACATTGATTAGAATGGGGTTAGGAGGCATCCATTAAAGTTAAACTACAAAACAGACTATGTATATATACAAAAGCCTCAGTATTTAACCAAATAGATTTAAGCTTCTAAATACAATAACTCACAAAATATGTAATCTTAGCCAGGCACCTGTTGCTCACATCAGTAATCCCAGCTACTCAGGAGGCTGAAATCTGAGGATGGCAGTTCAAAGCCAGACCAGGCAGGAAAGTACATGAGACTCTTATTATCTCCAGTAAACTATTAAGAAAAACCCAGAAGTGACACTGTGGCTCAAGTGGCAGAGTGCTAGCCATGAGCATAGAGAGGCTAAGGGACCGAGCCCCAGGACAGGCATAAATAAATAAATAAATATTCTAAAATTTTCCATATTTGAAATGTATTATTCTGTACTCTGACAAAGTATTAGCTCTATGAAAACAAAAGCATTATTTTATGCTGATTAGAACAGAAAATCAGAGCAATAAAATATTTTTGGTCCAGTAGAAGCACAAACCTTTACTAGCTTTGTCTAAATGTTCCAAATCATCCACAAAATTCAATATATCAGGGTACTTTTCTTCACAGATTTCTACCAGGAAATGAAGCAATGTGGTTTTCTGATCTGCTGATTTTGTGTCCTTCAGCTAAATGAAGAGAGAGGGAAAAAAATCCAACAGTTAAAAGTATTGTAATAATGTACTTATTCATAAGTTAATGTTAATACCGTATAAGAAATAAGATAAGAAATAAGATTTGAAATTAACCCTATTACTCCAAGTAGGTAAGAAATAAGTTGTGAAATTAGCCCTATTAGTTAAAAAGCTACTCTTACTTTATGTTTGGTCAAAAATATCAGCACTTGTAACAGAGAGAAATTGCTTCAGTCCAAACAGTGCATGATGTTTTATGGGAAAAATTTATGGTAAAACAACAAGAGTAAGTTTTACAAAGTATGTTTGAGTCTTTTTTCTAAATTAAAACTTTTGGTGCACTTTTTTATCAATTGTATACACTTAGAAATTTTAATACTACAAGTATACAGAAGTAATCTTTATGTCCTATATGCATACATGTACTTTATTCATAAGAACCAATAGAATAAATAAAATCCCCCACACACATACACACCCCAAGCAATTTTAAATTGCTCATGAATGATCTTCTTTCCCTTGAGAATCCATGCTCACAATTTAGAGGAATAAAAAGATTTTGGGACACACATTTGTGAGTGCTTCACTCAATAAGTTAGTTCAGATTCTCCCCTAGGAGGTAGGTAGAATCAAATGGGAAAAAAAGAAAAAGAAACAGACTTGAGAACATTTGTGTTGACCCATTGTTATCTGAAGGGGCCACTGAATGCAGTCACAGGGCATGTGAGAAGGGAAGCAGACATCTCCATAATGAACAGTGAGTGAGTATGGAGGATGCTGGGTAGAAAGAGTTGTAAGAACACAAAGTAGGCTAAGTATGTGTTATGGTGAATGTAAGTGTGCACAGACATAGTGAAACTTCATAAGAATAAGAACAATAACAATGAAGAAACTTAAATATAATTTCAGTTCCAAGATTATCTGTTTTTTTTGTAATCTATTGCTGGTACTTGGGCTTTGAACTCAAGACCTGGGCACTCTCCCATAGGTTTTCTGCTTAAGATTAGTGCTGTACCACTTGAGAAATAGCTCCACTTCCAGATTTTTGCTGGCTAATTGGAGATAAGAGTCTTTGGGAATTTTCTGCTCAAGACTGCAATCTTTAGATCTCAGCCTCCTAGTTTATAAGCATGAGCCATCAATGACTGGTCAGAGTTATTTTTTCATATCTAGGACAGACAGCTGAAATTTTTCTGTCTTTCGGGTTTACAAATAAGAAGCCTGATGTATAATTTGCCTTATCCCTATACTTCAATGACACTATCATCTTTAAGAGTGAAAGCCAGCTCAAAGGTAGCAGACTTTCACCAGTAAAAAAATTTAGCCTACAGGCTGTTTTCTGCTTTGTTTAAAAGCACCATATAAAACAATCATAGCTATCTTTTTTTTTTTTCCATTACATCAGTGACTGCTTGGGGGTAGCTTCTACTGTACACTCTGAGCACCCCTCTGTGACCACCCTCTACCCTTCTTCATGGAGCTCCTTTTATGAACAACTAAATAAGCAACTTGCATGCAATACAGTACCATCATTAAGACAAGCACTATCAACTTCCATAATTTGTAAAGCCTGAAAAAAACTTGCCAGAAAGATATGTAATGGAGCCAAACAATCTGCAGCTACAAGGATTATGTAAAGGAATCTCTGTAATGAAACCACAAGCAACAGATCAATCTCAATCTTTGTTCATGAGCAACAAGACCTCAGAAGTCTAATTCCAAAAAACATTATAGTTTGTAGCATTTATCAATTTAATAAATAAATAAGTACCAAGATCCAAAAGAGACTGAGGTTTCTCAGAGACACTATAAGGCTAGTTCTAATTTAGGAAAGGAAATGTTATCATAGGCTATTACATTAAAATTATCACCTGATTAGCAAGCCCTACACTGGTGACAAATTAATATTTAAAAGATAGTTGTTGAATAGTATATTAGAAGAACTTGTCCATCATTCCAAAATCAGTATTTAATAATTGAGAGAGGACAAATTACTCAATCTTCCAAATGAATTTGAAAATCAACTTAATAAATGGGAAACACAGATGAGAAGCATTTTGTTGAGAAAGGATGGTGTCTTACTGTTTGCAGCTAAGTCTCAGTGCAAAGGTTTTTCATTCATGTGCTAATATTCTAAGGAAAAATTTTGTGATACTGCTAAGGTAGTCTTGTCTGGATTACTCTCTTCTTTCTCTCTCTTTTCCAAAACACTTAAAAACTAGAGAATCTTTCCGAGACCAGGAAAGAACAAGAAAATATATTTAGCATGTATTTACTATATATATACATATGTATACATACATAGATACATATACTTTTAAAATAAAAACAAGCACATTCTATTTCTCTTTAAGCACTTATAATCAAAGGCTGAGCTAGAACTAGCTTGGAAGCCAATGTTAACTTTATTGGTATGAGAAACTTAGGTACAAGGGGGCTGGGAAGGTGGCTCAGTGGTAGAGCGCTTGCCTTGCATGCCTGAGGCCCTGGGTTCGATTCCTCAGCACCACATAAGCAAAAAGAAAAAAAGCTGGAAGTGGTGCTGTGGCTCAAGTGGTAGAGCACTAGCCTTGAGCTGAAGAGCTGAGGGACAGCGCCCAGGCCCAGAGTTCAGGCCCCATGACTGGTCAAAAAAAAAAAAAAAAAAAAAGAGAAACTTAGGTACACTTTGTAATGCTAGCTCTAGGAAAGAAAATTAAACTAAAATATTTGCTTTAAAGTTTTGTGAAGGTAAAATATGCTTTATGCTTGATAGGATTCCTTTTCAATTACTGTCAAGAGATCTGACTGATGAGTAATCATTACTATTAAATAGAATTTCTTATTCATGTATTGTTTCTTTAAGGTGCATTAAAGTGGCATAAATGTCAAGTAAACAAAAAGATGGATGGAGTCGCTCCAACAACTCTCTTCATTCCAGACAAAATAATGTTAAAAGCAAATTCTATAATAAATCATGGCCTAGTTGTCAAGTCTGGAGTAAAAGTCCCTTGTAGCTACAATGCAAGACTTTGAATTTTTTAAGATATTCAGCACAAATTTGGATGAAATTTTAAAAATAGCCAATTGTTTTGGTCATAAGGAAGAAATGTCTTAATATAAAAACCAAATCTTTGCTTGATCAGATCTTAATAATGACAAATCAGTAACTCTCCTCCCAATACATTCCTATAACCTAAATATGTATCAATATAGCATTAATTCTTCAGAACAGCATGACAAAATACCAAGAATGAGGTAACGGTCCCATGAAGAGTCTAGAGTTCCTCTATCTGTAACAGCAATACTACGGAAGACAGCAGAAATGATTGTTTATTTAGCACTTAACATGAGACAAGAAATAGCCAAATAACGTAGCATAGGTTAAGTGCATAAAATACAGCATCTGTTTAATAAAGGAGAGAACAGATTTAAGAGAGATCCTGTAACTTACCCAGCATAATGTATCTCATACTTGGTGGAGTACAATCTGAACCCATTTCTTTATACAAAGCTGTTACATAAAAATAACTATAAAATGCAGTTCTCATACATAAAACTTTTTTTAGTCTAGCTTTTTATTACTTCCCAAAGAAACAAAATTTTGAAAAACAGTGGACAAAAGTTATAGTAAAACAGATAAAGAGCATTAAAATGGAATTTAAAGTACTAATGTCCTAAAAGCCCTATTTCTAGCCCATAAAGTCTCTAAAAACAGACAGCTTTGCCTTCCGGTCATTTCTAATTCCACAAGTATAACATTCTTTCTACTATTATATCTATAAAATGAATAAAAAGGTCCCTAAATCATATCATTCAAACAAGTCTTCAGATATTACTAATAGATTACGGCTAACCAAAGTTATCTCAACAAACTCACAGGGGTTTACTTTAATATTGTAGTTCAAATCTTTGGAAGTTTAAAGTGGATAGCTTATGCATTCAAGAGCATCTCTAAAAATATATTCAAGGTTTCCACAGGAAAATGGGCACAATAGATAAAGCTTTCTGCTATGTGTGTGCATGTTATGTGCGTATGTATAATCACTGTGCTGATGAAGATCAAAATAGAAAGATTATCTCTTCAATATAAATGGTGATATTATTAAATAATATGCTTATGCCACTGCTAATGACATTAGTACCTATCATACTAATGATGATTTCATAATAATTTGAAAGACACAAAACCAATTGGTATCAGGTAACTGGCATAATAATAGAAATATTAGATAAATGAATTATGGTATTCACTGTTTGTCTTTGTATATGTGTGCCTGACTTAATTTTCACTTTAAAGAGTACAAAATTTAAACGACCAAGAATATGCTTATAATATAGACTTCTATATTTGTAATAGATTGGTTTCTAGCATTAGCTCTTCTCTAAATTATATTTTGACATGTTTCTCTCCAGTTTTAATGAGCACAGAAATTTCTATAGGAAAAGTAATTTTGTATTTTAGTAAAACTTAGCTTATTACATTATCTATTGTATGCTCAATTGTCTGCTAATTTCTTCGTCATATTGAAAATGGGCCAATGTTCTGTATAAAAAGGACTATTATTTATCAGTTCCTTTTAGTACTTAGAGTTTAGTAAATCTTCCACTAACTATAAGCAAATGGGGAAGAACTGGAATAAACAATTTACAAAGTAAGAAGACGGTGGCTCACGCCTGTAATCCTAACTACTCAAGAGGCTGAGATCTGAGGTTCATGGTTCAAAGCCAGCCCTGGCAGGAAAGTCCGTGAGACTTATCTCCAGTAAACCATAGAAAACCGGAAGTGGCGCCGTGGCGGTAGAGCTCTCCCCTTGAGCTGAAGAGCGCTGGGACAGCGAAGAAAGAAAGAAAGAAAAGAAAGAAAAGAAAGGAAGGAAGGAAAGAAAGAAAAGAAAGGAAGGAAGGAAAGAAAGAAAAGAAAGAAAAGGAAGGAAAGAAAGAAGAAAGAAAGAAAGAAAGAAAGAAAGAAAGAAAGAAAGAAAGAAAGAAAGAAAGAAAGAAAGAAAGAAAGA